TTTTTTTTTTTTTTTGTGATGGGAGTGCCAGTAGGGCGGGTGACGAGGTGCTGAGCGCTCCAGGTTTGGTGTGTTTGTTTGGGTAAAATGCTTTGCTCAGGGCTGTCATCACTTTTTACCGACACAAAGACGAGATGTTTCCAAAGATACTCTCCATATAGCTCTTGGTCCTCTCTCCTCGATGTGCTTCAGCCTTCCCTCCATCCAGAGCAAGGGTCAGAGCGAGTACTCTACCTCATGCCTAATTTTTACAGTCAGTATTTGTTATTTTGATAAGCCTATAGGTGAAATTTGGTACTTGCAACACATAAATTCATTGTTACTTCCGCAGATATTCTGTAAAATAACAACTAAAGTGTCTCATCTGAAAAACTGCTGTGCCTCTAACTCTCGCAAAAAAAACACTTCATCTAATAGCTCAGTATGGCTGCTGCTACGGTTACTCCCAGCAGTATCTAATAATCCTATATATTGACACAACAGCTGCTAGTTGAGCGCTTTTAACGTGAAGCAGCAGCAGTAGGAATGTCCTCGTTAGCAGAAACTTTATCCAGCTCTGATATGACTGCAGGAGAGTGAAGATTGGGATCAAATTAACCCACAGTAACCCCTAGATTACATGTTGCATAATTCCCTGTGAATTCTTCATGTGCTTGTGGGCAGATTAAGGATTATAACTGAATGTGCCGCCACACCTTTTACTGGTAATTGCTCTATTTGTATGACACTGTGTGACTAGTTCTCAGCATGAGAACCTGACAGCACTTACCTGTTGAAAAGCACACTGATGAAGACACTCAGGCTTCAACTCCAAAAGGTATCAAAGCAACAGTGAAAGTAGCACACAGATAGAAACATGCAATCCAGTGCAGTAACCCCACAATAAATGCTGTTTATGTGCATCTTATATTATAGATTTTTCTTGACTGCAGTTTGTGTCAGAGACTCAGTGTTTTTGTCTGCCTCCCTTGTATTTTCGTTGTAACTGTTTCTAATGAATTCACTGAGCTCCACATCACACACTGGTTCATCAGACACTGTTTTCCCATCATGCAGCTCCTGTGTATTGATGAAGCCACAGCCAGCGTGGATCAGAAGACGGACAAACTGCTGCAGCAGACCATCAGAGAGAAGTTTCAGGACAAGACCGTCCTCACTATTGCACACAGGTAAAGGAAGCTTTCATGTAATATTAGCGTCAACCAGGGACTGATTTTAACTTATTTCATGCACCTTTTGGCTCATTTCTTAATTTTCACATGGACATTTGTTAAATGGTCTGTCTTTGTCTGTTTTTGTCACCAGGATCAACACCATCATGGACTGCGACCGGGTGCTGGTGATGCATGCTGGGAAGGTGGTGGAGTTTGACACCCCGGCGGCTCTCTGCCAAACAGACCACTCCATCTTCCAAAGGCTGGTTGGTTGTAGAGGAGAGTGAGACAACGAAAGAGACACTGGAAGGAGGGAATTTATCAGAAATGGAAAGATTTATTTTTATATTTTTGAAATGTTTGCTGAGAACTCGCTGCCTTTTCAGAACCATCCTGCACACACACTTTTACAGCTGTTACATAGTGAAGAAAGCGGAGAAGAGGTGAATGCCTTGCTCCAGGGTACGGTTTGGACTAAGAAGTGAATGATGATATGGGCGCGCATACATTTAGTTTCTTTTATTTTATGATTTTAATGCTGATCAGCATTAAATAATTGTTTCTGAATGAATTTTGAGCAAAAACTACATCTTTAATCCCTTCCCTTAAACTTCTTTTGCTGATTTGGGGACATTTTTATGGAATTAACTAACTGGCAGCAGGGCTTACATACACCTATCTATACCCAACCAGTCCATCATCATATTTATTGTGTTTGTTGATTCAGTGGTTTGTGTAAAACGCGTATTGTTTTGCTGTTGTCAGGGCTCTGTTTTCTTCTTCCCGGGTGCACTGAGAAAAATCTCCCAGTCATTGGCTCCTATAAACCAGGTACGGTGTACAGTGGCTGCACTCATGATTGAATATTTTGAGAAATAACTGAAAATGTGAAAAGGAAGAAATATAAAAATGCTCTCTTAGCTGCTACTGAACATCTGAGAACCATTTTGTTTTCCAGTCTTGTCACATTTGACCCCTAATTCAGACAGTTGTGGAACATTTTGCCACTGATTCCCAGGCGTAAACAGTTGTTTAAGCTTTTGTGTACCGATGTTAGATGTCACTGCAGATTTAGTAGCCTGTTTTTGTAGTTAAAAATAATGGTTTGACTTTAATATGAGTGAATAATTTACAGTATATGTCGATAATCTGTAATCTCAAACTGACTCCTTTAAAGTGGGAGTCACTGATGGGTCACTTTGCAATTATCAGATAGTTGTCCTGTACTTACAGTGATATGATCATATTTTCTATGTAAAATGAGGTTTAAATGAAGGTTTATTTTTCTTTGGTTAATTGTTATAATTTACATTTTTGCCAGTTAGAAGGATTTTCATCCATCCGGTGGGAACAACACAGATTTAGGGGACAGTTACCTGACCCTCGATCTGTTTGAGCTACCTCAACTCTGAGGCGAGCCACTAAACATTGAGCTGCTATAACTGAAAGCAATATTTAGAAGACTTCATAGTCAGATCTCAGTGTTAATCACAGTTCAGAGAATACTCAGTATAATGTACTGCAACTAATAAAGCCTCAGTTCAGCTTCAATCTTGATTTAAGTGCATAATTTGATGCAATTTAACTGCAACATTTTCATAAATCATCTTGGTTTTATTTGATTTGGTCCCCTGTCGTTTTATATTATATGTGTGTTCCTTAATTGATAATGCTACATAAATTAGATAAATCTCAATCAATCGTCTGTAGGCAGTCAATAAATGGATCAGCTATTTCTCACAATTAAATGTTTAGTAAATTAAAGTGTTTAATTAGCCTTTCTTAGCATTACCATAGCATTTTATTATGTTTCATTAGAAGTGAAATAAGACAGAAATATTTATGTGGCTCCAAAGTTGAAAGAAAAACTCTTTGGGAATCCGGCTGGATATTGTCTTACATTTTGTATTTATAATTATGAGAGTTATCACATCAACAAAGGCTCCCAAAAAGGCATTTTTTCATGTTGTATGTAAGTGCAGCCGTTGGCAAGAGGTTGAAAAGACATTTATTTATATATGAAGCTCTTAATTGTCCAGCTTACATTATAAATTCACTCCACATTTGTTTTTAAGGACCTCGCAGGTTAGATGTATGAAAAGAGGCATTAAGCTTTTATCAACTACGAAACATTTGATCAAAACTGACGACTTTTATGATTTTCATTTTGGTTTTGAATTTTATTTACAGTAATCTGTTTTATGTTTTGACTCGTTTAAACTCGTTATTTTATTAATACGTAAGATCACAGGCTGTGTTTTTTTTAGCTGGCACGTGGTGCTTCTGAATTGCTATGCTTTTATCTTTTTTTTGTTTTTGTTTTTTACTTTTCTAAGTGTGTGTTTTTGTACTTAAGAAACATAAAGTATTTTTTATAACCAGAGGGAATCTTTTTAGAATGAATTAGTGGTCTTCTCTATAAATGTAATGTGTTTCTCCTCTCTGTTTATACTTTCTGTGTATCCGTTACAAACAGTCGCAGACAATTTCATTTACTTGTGACTTATCTTTTCAAACTACAACGTCAACATCAGAATGTTTTAAACACAAAACCATCTGTGATTTTATAAAGGTCTCTATAAAGTCTTTATGAATGATTCAACCATGCTAACAGTACATTTGATCACCTTGTTCTACTGTATAGGAATGTGTTGGGGACGTACAGTATGTAAAATAGAGCTGTAACTAATGATTATTGTCATCATGAACTCATTTTATCATATTATTTCTATTATTTGTTTGAATCACAATATCCTAGAGCACAACGTGTCATCATTAAAGTGCTTTTACACCACATGCCACATTCACCCAATCACAGACTGGTGGCATCACAAACAGACACTTACACATATGCACACTGATGCACAGGATCGTAAGCAATTTGGGGTTCGGTATCTTGCTCAAGGAGACTTTGACACGCAGCAGGAAGAGCAAGGGATTGAACCACCAACCTTCTGATTAGTGCACGACCCGCTCTACCAGCTTGAAAACCCCAATTTACTATAAGAACAAGAAACGCAGCAATTCACCTGCAACTGTCAAATATTTGGTATTTGTGACTGAAAAATGAATTAATGTTATTTTATTTTTTATTTTTATTTTTTTCAGTCGATGAATGGACTTAATCGACTAATCTTTGCAGCTCTAACATGAACTTGAAAACAAATATAAATTATTTTCATAAACATTAATTGAAAGAAGCTTCTTTTCTTTTTTATGTGCCACTGGTGTTCGACTCAACCTTCTGTATGTGCAATGTGATCATATGTTATATGTTAACATCTAAATGGATAATAATTTTGGAAGGATTTATTTATTTTTAGTTGTTCCCTTTTTTTTGTCAGCAGGGTTGCTGTATAATTAGAAATTAAGCTGTAATAAATAATAATAAATCAGTTGCATTTGTAATTAAAGCATTGTTGTCATACCTGTTTTTGTATGGTCTCTGTTAACGTCAGAGCCCATCTGGAGCCACAGCCTTACCTTTCTAGGTACGATTATATAACGACATATAATGCCACTGAACTCTCTCCTTTCTTTCCATCCAGATTCACACAGGCAGCCGTCTTTGTGCCCAGTGAGTGACTGTAATCAGAGTGACTCACACAGTAAACGCCTGCCGCTCCCTTGGCACAGGTCAGCATTTTTCTCATGTTAACAAACTTATCATGTTGTTAGGGGGAGTGTTTCAGTTTATGTTTTTCTGCTCAGTCTTGTTTCCTGAGAGTGGAGGTTTCAACGATCGTTGAAACGTTCAACGCTGAGTTTTAAATGTCTGTGTGTTTGATTTTGCACTGTGTATGTGTGCATGTGGGATGTTTGAAGTATGAGGAAAAGCGGGTCAGACATTCAAGTTGTCTGCTGCAGTGTGTGTTTGTATGCATATGAGCCGCAGACGTGTGGTAGTCAGGGTGTGTTTTCATTAGGGCGTGTGGTGGGGATGTGTGTGTGTTTATATCTGTTGACAGTTAACGGAGGCGGGATGTATAAGGTGGAACCTGTTTGTCTGCTTCAAGTCAAGTATTTGTCCACCTGAGTGGCGCTCCTCTGCTCAGACACAGCCTGCAGAGCGAACAGCATGGACTGACTCAACTCTGCTGAAACTCTTCAAAACAACACGAACCAAAGCACCTGCCGGATGGACCCTGAGGTCAGTTTCATTTATGAGTTGTGTTTTTTTTCAGCTGTGGGCTTCCTCCTGTGTGGTCCTTAAGGTGGCAGGTTTTGGGAGACAGTTTCAGGTGCCATCATCCAGCTAGTTTCTGTCTCAGCTCCTGTTCTGTTCACCTTGACTTTTTTTGAGAAATTGTTAAACATCTTTCTTTTCTGTCTTCTATTGGTTTTTAAGGTTTTATTTCTCTTTCTTGTACACAGCTTTCTGTTCTTCCACCTGCCTTTTATCATAATACTACTTAAAAATCTATGTCCAAGTTCATTTTGATGGGCTTTGGGATTGATTGATTGCTTACAATCTCACTGGTCTTCACTTTGATGTGTCTACTCTCCTGTTATTACAAACTACAAATCTGATGCTCCTGCCAAATTACAAATGTGCTGATTGTACAAATTTTGTTTTGCTAATGAAGCAAAAAAAATACCTGAAGAGCCGTTTTTGATTGAGTCCTAGCTCTATCTTGCATCCAGATCCTACTGACTGAACATTCTCTCTTTTATAACTCCAGGCATGTGCACTTTGACTTGACTGTAAAATGTTTATTGTGTAACTTTTTGAGTAGTAAATCGGCTGCTTCCGTTGCTCAGTCATTTGCAGTTGTGTGTAATATGAACTGATTGATGTTAGTTTGAGTGACAAAGTATTGTAGAAGTTAAAACTACACATTTATGGACCATTTTAAAACATCACATTTAAGGTTTAGATTGATTACATATTGTCATTGTCTTGTAGTCGTATCGGGATAAAATTCTTGAAGCTTTTGTGGTTCACAGTTGTCATTGTTTGAATAATGAGTAAGATTTTACCAAACATATGTTGCAGCTTGACATCTTATATATATTTTTCTGAAAATTCTGCTTTATATTGGACTATAATCGGACTTAAAAGGGATCATTTTAGCCCTTTTTAGCCTGATCACATTGCATATTTGTTGCTGTAATGTTGCTGATTCTGTGCAAATGGTGGAGAAATTCTGCATTTTTGTGTTTTCAAAATAATATTTATTGTGATCATTAAGCCGACAAAGATTTTAATGCAGTTAATTTACGTACTTTTATTTGGATGTGTGGAGTTAAAGAGCAGTTAGGTGCTGATGCAGAACAGTTTCATTCTTCCAGTTTATCTTTGCACAACATTTGACATGATCTTGATAGAAAATAGTCTGTCTGGATTCACTGGAGATTTGCCAATGCTCTGCAAGGATTTATACATACATACATATATTATACATATACTCCTAGAAGGAGGTGGGTGTGGTAAATGTTAACATTGTGCCCTTTGTGACAAAAAGGAAACACCCAACAACAGGAAAAGTCGTTCGCAGCACTCTCGATAAACCTGTTCCTGATTTTCCCCATTTATGGCTCAAGAGCTCTGAGGCCATTACTCAAATACCTGATAGATGCCTCTGCGGAGTTACCTGGGTGTCTCTCATCTAACTGAAACTGTGAAAAATCTGTTTCCTCGTTGGAATTTAGAGCAAGAATGATGCACTGTTTCTCTTAGTCCATTCTGCCATGGATCGATTCAATTCCACAATACTACAGGTGTTTGTATTTTCTACCAAGATATACAGCTAATATGGAAATCCAGTCTTTAAAATCTTCAGTATGGATCGTCAAACTCACCAGTTGCGGCATCTTTTCTTTTTACTTACGTAGTCTTCCTTTATCTCAGTGGTTTAAACTGATTTGACAGATGAAACTATCATATGATCAGAGCTGTTTGCTGGATGCTCCTGGTTCATCTGTTTTATTTAAGGCCAACTAATGTTGCTGTTTTAATATGTTACAAACATACAGTATCTAACAAGCTATTTAACACATGTAAAGAACAGTTGTATTCTCTATAATTTGTTTACTCAACATTTTATTTTATTCTATAGGTTTAGTCAGAGGGGATCATTCAATGCCACTGTGACAGAAACAAAAGGATCATGGTACGAATTTTATTTTCAAATCTGGATTAAAATGTTAAACATTCTGTTATAGTTATATTTCTTCTGTATGTTGCTTTAAAAAGCTTTTGTTTTAACACCTTCATGAAATGTCTTTGCTTGCAGCTGTCACACCGGAGGGGAAGGAGTCTCTCTGACGCCCTGACCCTGGAGCGATCAGACGAGGGGGGGCTGGTCGTATCAAGCATCAACAACAGTGCCTCAAGCAATCAGGGACTGAGTAAAGGTATAACCATTCGCTTGCAACTGAAACTTTCTTTACATATTGCTTTTGACTGTTTTAAAAGCAAGACATAATAGTGTCTTAGCTTTTAGAGTTTCAGCAGTTTTAATAATAATATAACATTTTTAACTTAAATCCAACGTTGTCTTAACTTAGACATTTCAGTTTTTTGTAGTAATGTTGAATGTTGTTAAACTTTTAGACAAAAGTTTTGAGTCTAAGGCATGCAGCATGATTTGCACCCATGAAAGCAGGGGCATTGTTTTATGCAGACACTTGATTTTTCTTTATCAGGGGATGAAATCTTGGGGGCAACAATCAATTTTGATCAACTATCAAAAGACGAGGTGCTAAGAGTACTGAAGCTAATGGAGCCTTTTGATGACAACATCCAAGTCCTCACAAGGAAAAACCTGAGCAAGAGCATGGACAATCTGGACCATTGTGTCAAGACTCCTGAGACGGTAGGTGGAATATTATCAAGTCAAACAGAATAAATGAATTAGTTAATGAATAATCCTCTTGTACGTTCATGCAACAGAGGTCCACAACACAACTCATCCCCAAGTGCTAGACAATAGTTACATAAAACCTGTGGTTTTTATTTCTAGATGCTGAAGGATTCCTACAACAAACTCTACAATGCCAAAATCAAAAAGTTTATGAGAGACGATTTGCCTGGTGCCGAGGAGAACTGTGTGAACGGGGAGGTTACCGCCAAGCCAACTGTACCAGGCTCATCCAAGGTCAACCTAAAACACGACATGGGATTGCCTCGCCTCGGAGTTGACTTTGGACTTCTGAAAACCAAGACTTTGAGCAAAGATGTTGATGCTGGAGAATTAACATACGACAGCAATTTGAACCTTCCACCGTTGGGTCTTGGCTTCAATGGGACTGCTCTAAGTGGAGCTCAGCTACCAAGACTGAAAGTCAATGCTAGCAATCCACAGCTTAACACACCAGACTTACATCTGTCTGGAACATTACCAGCTGGTCCAAACACTACAGCTGGTATACAACTGCCAAACAATGACCCTGATACAGACCTAAAAATGCCAGGTGCTGATATATCACAGCTTAATCCAAATGGGCTGGACATTGACATGCCTTCAGGGGATGTCAGAGTGCCACTTCATAAATCAAAAATTGGTCTTAAATCTCCAGATTTAGACATAGATGCCCCATCTGGTAAATTCACCCTGCCCAAATTTGGGGTCTCCAGCAAAAGTGATGCTTATGTTAAAACACCTGACTTAAGTCTCAAAACACCAAAGATAAAAGGTGGGATTCATGCACCCGATTTAAATCTACCCAAAGCTGACCTAAAAGGACCAAATTTTGCCTTTGATACTCCATCTGCTGGCATTAAAGGTCCATCTGGAAAATACAAGGCTCCTAAGTTTAGGATGCCCAAATTTGATTTACCAGACATTCAAGTTCCAAGTTTCAATGGCGATATAGTGGGACCAGATATGCAGTTGGCAGCACCAGATCTCAAAGTTAAAGGCCCTGAATATGACTTAAATACTCCAGACATGGATGTGTCCACTCCAAAGTTTAAAGGGGGCATCAATTTGCCTGGTGCTAATCTCAAAGACCCAAAACTAAACCTTAACACCCCTGATTTGGACATTAATTTGCCTTCTAGTAAATTGGGCAATGATGCAGATGCTCCCTCTGGCAAGGTTAAACTGCCAAAGTTTAAGCTCTTTGGCACATTACCAAAGAAAAAAGATGTGGATATCAATGCAGGGCTGAAAACACCTGAACTAAGTCTGAAATCCCCAAAGCTAAATGGTATAGATGCTCCTGATATGAGTTTACCAAACATGGATCTCAAAGCTCCAAATTTAGACCTCCGATCTCCAGATGTAAACGTTGGTTCACCCAAAGGAAAGTTCACCATGCCAAAGATGAAAATGCCCAGCTTTGACTTGTCAGGTCCAAAAGGAGCAAACATTGACATGGATGCATCACTAAACAGACCAGATCTGCCATCAGGTGGTCTTGATGTAGATTTGTCTAAGCCAGAGTTTGACATTGATGCACCTTCACTTGACCTCAAAGGCCCAAGGTCAAAGCTGAAAATGCCTGAAGCTGATATTGGAAGTCCATCAGGAAAAATGAAGATGCCAAGTTTTACAATGCCAGATTTTGGATTGTCAGGACCAAAGCTGAAAGGACTTGATGGTGAGCTAAAGACTCCAGACTTTGATCTTTCAGCCCCCAAATTTAAGGGGGCTCTTGGTTCCCCAGATTTGAAATTGCCTGAGATGGATCTTAATAAGCCCAAACTAGATCTTTCTGGCCCAGATGTCAACTTAGACATGCCATCAGGTAAACTAAAAATGCCAGAGCTTCATGCTCCAGACTGGGATGTTAATGCTCCCTCAGGCAAATTGAAAATGCCAAAATTCAATCTTTCAGGTACATTACCAAAAGGACCAAATATGGACCTGAATGCAGATCTTAAGTCACCAGATTTGAGTCTTAAAGCTCCAAAGATAAAGGGTGGAATTGATGCTCCTGACTTGGACTTGCCTAATATGGACCTTAAAGCCCCCAAGTTAGATGTGAACACTCCAGATCTCAACATCGGTTCACCCAAAGCAAAATTTAAAATGCCTAAAATGAAAATGCCTAAATTTGGCCTCCCAAGCCTAAAAGGACCTGAAATTGATGGCAACTTTGATGGTCCAGATGTAGATATAAATGCACCAAATGTCAATCTGAAAGGACCCAACGCTGATTTAGAAATGCCAGATGTTGATATTTCTGGTCCATCTGGAAAATTCAAAAAGCCAAACTTCAACCTGCCTGACTTTGGACTTTCTGGTCCAAAGTTAGATGGCCCTAACTGGGACCTCAAATCACCTGATCTTGATATCTCTGGTC